CAGGACCTCAGCGTCCTACGTTACACTCCTCCCCTCTTTCCCAGGGCCAGGCGAGCGCCGCCGCATCCTCTGCTCGCCGCTCCTGCAGCAGGAGCAGCAGATCGGCAAGAGGAGAACACCGGGACGAGTAAGTGGCTTCTCGAGCGTCAAGGGCAAATGCTGCTGGTTACGCCAGACGAGGAACTCACGTCTCTTCCTCAGGGGAATTACACTGTTAGCATGGAGTTTGGATTTGTCATAGATCTCACAGGGAACCCGTGCGAAGGCGTGGGGCCCCTGACCTTTAGAATCGCTAAGGACGGGGGCTGTCCGTTGTTGTATGTCACGGGCTTCGGCACGGAGAACGGCAACTGCAACGGTCTGTACACCCCAATAGACCCTATCAATAACCATGCCGCCTGGAGGGGAGGCGAGGGAAACTTCTTCTTCATTTACTTCCGCCAAGAGACAGCCGAGGAACCAGGCAACTGGGTGGTCGACACTGACCTCGACGAGAGCGCTTTCCTGGGGTTCGCAGACATTGCGTTGCTGCAAGGAACCCCCCGGGGCCCCAAGGGGGGACCCCCGCTACCCCCGTCTGGCCTGTGGCACAAGTGGACGGGCAAGAAGCGCGAGGAGCAGCCATTCGCCGCCTTCGTCTGCCGACAAACCCCAGACCATCTACCCCCTAACCTTGTGGCTGTGGGTCCCCCCCAGCCGGAGCCCACTGGAGCGGTGCGAGGCCCCTCGGAGGTGCCTGAGCAGGGGCCGCATCTGCTACAGCTGGACAGCGTCTCGGGGATCCCCGTAGAACCCGTCGTCCTCGTGTTCAACAAACCCATTACCTACGGCCACTGGGCCTCTCTCCGCCTCACTCCGCGCGGACAGAAAGCCCCAGTCGCCGAGTGGCCAGCAGACCAGGAGGCAGGCATGAGAGGCGCGACAATTAGGGTGCGTCGCATGAAGTCACAAGCATCCGGCGCCTCCGGGAGCCCGAAAGTCTCCTCCCTTGCCTCCAGCAGCAGCACTAACAAAGATGCAACTGCCACAGAAGAACAAGAAGAGGAGCTGGGGGTTGCCGAGCTAGACGTCGACGTGCCGCTAGACCCAGGGCAGGTCTATGAACTCACAGCAGACCTGGGGGCCTTCACAGACCTCTCCTACAACCCTTGGGGGCCCCTGGGGCCCCAGGTTGTCTCGTTCGAGGCGGCTGCCACGCACTGTCTGCTGAAGATCGGTGCAGAGGCAGCAGCAGCAGCTGCAGCTGCAGCAGAACCAGACGGGCCCGAGGCGCAAGCAACAGCAGCTGACGAAGCTTCCTACGACCTGCAGCTCCTAGACAGCAACGCGGAGGTGGTGGGCAGTGGCGATAGAAAGGTACCCGAAGGCAGCCGTG